ACACAGAGAGAGAGGAGGGGGGGAAGAGAGACAGAGACAGAGGTGGGTGAGAGACAGAGAGAGAGGTGGACAAGAGACAAAGACAGAGGTGGGTGAGAGACAGAGAAAGAGTATTATATATAGAGAGAGAGTATTATACAGAAAGAGATTGTGGGGGTGAAAGAGAGACAGTATTATACAGAGAGAGAGAACGGGGGTGAAAGAGAGAGAGTATTATACACAGAGAGAGAGGAGTGGGGGGAGACAGAGACAGAGATGGGTGCGAGACAGAGTATTATACAGAGAGAGAGAGGGTGGGCCTGAAAGAGAGACAGAGAAAGTATTATACAGAGAGAGACTATTATACAGAGAGAGTATTATACAAGCGGGGGGGAAGAGAGACAGAGGTGGGCGAGAGACAGAGAGAGAGTATTATATATAGAGAGAGAGTATTTTGCAGAGAGAGATAGTGGGGGTGAAAGAGACAGAGAGAGTATTATACAGGCAGAGAGAGAGAGTGGGGATGAAAGACAGACAGAGAGAATATTATACAGAGAGAGTATTATACAGAGAGAGTATTATACAGGGTGGGGGGGAAGAGAGACAGAGACAGAGGTGGGCGAGAGACAGAGAGTATTACACAGGGAGAGAGTATTATACAGAGAGAGATAGTGGGGGGTGAAAGAGAGACAGAGAGAGTGTATTATACAGACAGAATTATACAGAGAGAGTGGGGGTGAAAGAGAGACAGAAAGTATTATACAGAGAGAGAGAGTGGGGGTGAAAGAGAGACAGAGAGGGAGAGACACGGGGAGGGGGGAAGAGGGAGGTACGGGGAGGGATGGGGGGATGTGGGTCATGGAGGGAGGGGGCACAGAAGTTAGATGGACAGAAGGGACGGGTGACAGCAACGAGGGAGGGTAGAACTGGAAAACCCGATAACAAGGATGGAGGGGGCTGTTCCGGGATCCTGGCACAACGTGTGGAAGGAGGTGCCCCCAAAGGGTCAGTCAGTCTACAGGGATCCAGAAGCTGGAGAGGTCAACTGAACTAGATCCAGTGGGTCACACTGCGGCAGGTTCAACACTTCGAGAGGCCAAAACACATCCCTCCTGGCACCCCGCGTCAGGGGGAGAGAGAGAGAGGCAGTGGGGGAGAGAGGAGACGGGGAGAGAGGAGGGGGGAATGTAGAGAGAGGAGACGGGGAGAGAGGGAGAGAGAGACGGGGAGAGTGAAAGAAAGAGAAAGAGACGGGGGAAAGGAAAAGCAAGAGACGGGGGGAGGGGCAGAGAGGGAGATGGGGAGAGAGACAGGGAGAGAAGGAAAGATGGGGAGAGGGGGAGAGAGACGGAGACAGGGAGAGAGAGACAGAGTGAGAGAGAGACAGAGAGAGAGAAAGACAGGTGGGGGGGGAGAGAAAGCTGGGGAGAGAAAGATAGAGATAGATGGGGAGAGAGAGATAGAGACACAGGGAGATAGAGAGA